TTTCTCGGCTTCACTCTATTGTGGTTTTTTCAAATATATTCATTAAAATGTTGATCGAGACAGTGAAAATGATACAGCGCGAGCTCGGTTGTCTGAGTGAATTATACACCCCTGTATTACAATTAAAATGACTGTACGTATGGACTGTAGGCCTATGTATTCGAGCACCCCAGGAACCCTTCAATGCCAGGTGCAACCGCTAGAGTCTGGAGCCGATTAACCGCGACAAATGAAGGACATCTGTAACTCTGGGTCTGCTGTGCACTTAACTATTGTCCTGAAATGCCTTACCATGCTAGTCCTACTAAACTCTGATTTAGAAAAAGAACATAGATTCAGTATTAAGTCCTGAAAGAAGAGACAACATGTGCTGTGATTTTGCACCACTAATTGAACACAGAACAGATCCTGATGACGGCTTTCCTCCATAGCCACTTGAAGAAAGTGGAGATAACACACCCCTACTTCTGGAGTCCTCTTATTTGTGTCTCAGCTTATGAGAGTCCTCCCCAGATAGGCATTTCTTGGTGACCCACCCTAAAGTTTGCTTCCCCCAAATCCTTCTTTAACACACATCATGTTTTGTTTTCATATATTTGTCACTATTTGAAATTACATCATTCACTTCTTTGTGTATTATGTCTCCCTCCTTTATTGTGTAAGTTTCCCTAAAGACCTTGCCCGTTGTGTTCTTGCCCTATCCTCTGACACCGGTAACGAGTAAAATGTTCAATAAATATGTGATGAATGAGTACAAGGTTAACACTGATAACAGTAACATAGCCAAAGAAAGGACAACTCCATAGGTGGTAGGGTGGTCCAAGGTGCTCCTAAATTAGAACAGGAGGGTAGGGTAAGGGGAGCAGAGGAAAGGGAGGCCAGGTAAGCACGCGCAGGTTGTATGTCCACCCACCACGTCCACAGAAGAGGGTGCATTGACCCACAGCAGGGATGTGCTATGCAGGTGACCAGTGTGCCCTAGAGTGGTGTTATATTCGTCCTTCAGGCAGTTCTTCCTTAGTGCTCTGCCCCCGCCCGCTCTGGGCTCTCCAATCACCAAGCAACATTCTGATCCTCATTTTACTTTTCCTATAGCTATGGATGTAAGGGAGAGAACATGAAAACTAAAAAACACAAACCTGCCTGTTGGTTTGGCAGTTAAAGTTTTTAAAAGTGTATTTATAATGAGAAATGGATCTGTTTCTTACAACCTTGACCTTGGCTATTGAGCGAATCATCTTTCAAAGATGCTCTCCCTCTGGGCATACTGAAAATCACACCCCAATGCTCTGCTCCTCATACGGGTAACAAGTAGGAAGTCAGTTGACCTTACCCCATATCTTTGCATTCAGTATGCAATAGTCACATTAGCTGTTTCTTGCAATTCAAGTTTGGTGACCCTGGACAAGTTGCTTAATCTTTATGGGCCTCAGATTCTTCTCTGAAAAATGAGAAAGCTAAAAATGAAACGGTCCTGACAGATCTTTAAATTATGTGTAAAGGGACACCCAGCAATGTATAAGAGGGATCTAAAAAATCCAATAGATTCCATCTGTTTGCTTTATGGGAATATATCTTGTCACATGATTTCATTCATCTGAATTCAGCACCAGGAAACTGGTAAAAAAAAAAAAAAAAAAAAAATTAAAGAACAGGATTTAAGCAGACAGGAAGGAAGAAAGGAAGGAAACAACTGTTTATAGGGGAAGTCAGTAACTCAACACATTTGTTACCAAAGAACAATTAGCCCCATGGAGTGGGGGTTATTCAGAAAATATGGAACTCTTCTCAGAATAAGGTATTGCTAGACACCGTTATACAACTCCATCCAGCCATTCCTCAGCTTAAAGTGGTGGCCACTGAGTGAGAAAGGAATAAGTGTGTTACACCAAACTGTTCCCAGGATCTGCTGCTGCCTACACGGACCTGTTCACTGCCAATTTATAGAAAGTTTGCCTTTTTAATTTGCAGGAAAGCACAGGAGCAGTTATAAAAACAGAAAAGGAAGCATCGCAGAAGAAACAGCTGCTGATAATCAAATATATGTCACATTCATGTAGGGAGAAATCCTGTAACATGCAGCAACTACCTTTGAGCCATAGCTTTTGGGTGAGTTTATGTAGTTCATATGCACATTTTATAGGCTTCACATCCTCATACACACTTTAGTGATTTATTGATTTGAGAGAGAGAGAAACATCAATTTGTTGTTCCACTTATTTATGCATTCATTGGTTGTTTCTTGTATGTGCCCTGAGGATTGAACCTGCAACCTTGGCGTAGTGAGACAATGCTCTAACTAAGTGAGCTACCTGGACGGGGCCCAGTAGTTCTATATTTAATGCAGCAATGCAAAATATACTGATGCACAAAATTAACTCAGTCTAAGTATTTCTTGAAACCATGACAATATGGAATTGTGGGAGAGGGCAATTTTCAATATATCTTTGTTTTTTGTTGCTGTTGTTAATCCTCACCCGAGGATATTTTTCCATTGATTTTTAGACAGAGTGGGAGAGAGGACAAGAGAGAGAAAAACATCGATGTGATGTTGATTGGTTATCTCTCACATGACCCTGACTGAGGATCGAACCTGCAACCCAGATACATGCCCTTGACCCAGAATCCAATCCTTGACCCTTTAGTCTGGGGGCTGATTCTCTAACCTCTGAGCCAAACAGGCCAGGCCAGTATATCTGTTTTTAAAAGTCATGTAGAATGCAAATAGCTTCAACACCTGAGACATGAACATGGCAGCATCAGCAATGACAGCATCCACAGATCCTCCCTCCCTTCCAATCCCTGAAAAGTTCATCTGTGAGACTTTAAGGTGACATCCACTGTTCTGCTCTTCATAAGGGTAACAATGCAGGAAGTCAGTTAACCTTACCCCATATCTTTGCATTCACCACGCAATACCCAACATGAACTGTTTCTGCAATCCAAGTTTTGTGAACCTGGACAAGTTGCTTAATCATTATGAGCCTTGGATTCTTCTTGTAAAATGAGGAAGTTAAAAGAGCTGATCCTAACAGTGCAGACAGCTAATGGGCCAAATGGACCATGATGACCAAAAATAGTTAACTTCAAAAAACTGGATTATAAATCTGTACCCTAAAAGCAAATAGACAGAAAGACTGTTTAGAGGTTAGACAGAATGTGGCAATAAAACAGAGGAAGAAAAATGTAAGATCTATCAGTTGCTCATTTGCTCTGCAGTCCATTTATCCAATGATATGTCAAGCCAGACAGCATTCCAGCATAATGTGTCAAAGGAAGAAGCAGAAAGACCTATTTGCACTGACATTGTGGTGGGTTGATTTGCAGTCTACTCAGACTGTTAAGAATTTGAATCACTCCAAGCACTTTATTCAGAATTTCTGATCTGTCATCTATATAACACTTATATAAGAAATAACTCTGAATAAGGGTAGCTTTACATATTTGCAGACATAAATGTAAACTTGTCATTTAATAAAATTTGAAAGTTGTATTGAAGGACTGAAAAGCATCAAGCCATCAGAGAGTTTGAAAAGCTGGAAGAAGTCTCAGAACTCATTTAAATCTAGCGCCTTTCCCCACCCTCAGACAAGGACGGTGAGAACCAGAAAGCAACGCTTCGTAGCAGCCCTGAGAACTCAGGATATTGTAAACTCGTTACAAGACTGTGGACACACAGTGGTGGGTCCTACCGCTGACAATGTTTGTGAATGGAAGTGAACATCTCACCATGGGCAGTACCAAGCACCAGGTCCAAAAGCCACATCCCTTCCAGTGAACCGCGCCGCACGGCCATATACCCCGCCCCCAGCAACACTGAGTGGGATCGCAGGTGCTCCAGGGGACCGTGCCTGCTGCCCACTCCTCTTCACTAACTTCAGAAAGTGTAACCCTAGTTTTTTGTCAGTGGCTATGGAACTAAGTTTTTTCAACATATCTTGAACACCTTATGGCTTTATTATTTAATTAATTGGAAAACTCAGTCAAGAAACATAAGAAATATGCTTGAAAGCGAAAATAAATGACTAAGTGCCAGGCAATATCCATAAAATGCTGGGATAAAGTGATAAATACCCACTTAAAATACACAATCAATCTTTAACTCAGTAACGATAAAAATAGTAAGGAAATTCACAAACACTAGAGGACTTGAGAACTGTACAGATTTACCCAGCCCGGCTCAACTGCTTAAGTAACTGTAACCCAGACACATGAATGCTCACACACTTCACACCCATTCACTCACAGGCTTTGTCAGGTTTTCTTCTACATTATCTCATTTCCTTCCGAAACTTACATTGCTTATGAAAGACTGACATTTATGGGTGAAAATTTCATCTCAAAAATAAGATTAGCTTAAAAATTTTTTACAGATGCTAAGGAAATTTTCAGCCAGACATACGCCTATTATTACAAACAATATGCTTTTGTTGAGCTAGTATGTACCTAATCAAATTTTGCATATTAAAAAAAACTTAAATAGTAATAATAATAATGCATATAAGGCACAGAAGGTAGAATTTTAAAGTCAACTACAATTAATACCGAGAACCCACAACTGACAGTCCTGAAAAGCTATTCCTGAAGTAAGAACATGAGTCCTTGACCGATACAAGGTTATCTAATTTTATACTATCATTAAAAAAAGAAAATTAAACAAGTAGCGTCTGTTAGCAGTGACCTTGACTAGCTCTGAGCAGTCTCTGACACGAGTGTCCAAGATGACAGCTGGACAGCACAATTACAAGGACTAAAGCTGCATGAGCAAAGCCTGCCCTTGCAACCTTTCCTATAGCAAATAAAAATGGCAGACCCAGCTAGACTCACAGAGCCCTGGCTCTGTGGTTTAAATGACAGGGAAACTTACACAAAAGAAGTATCCAGAGTATAGACAGCACTCTTTTTGTTTTTCACTTTTATATTTTAGGGCACAGTTTTGGGGAGGGGGACACAATGCTGCCTTACAAAGGACATAGAAGTCCCTTGTTTGAGCTACCAACCTCTTAGCCACACAGAAAAATGTCAGTCATCCATTTGTTAGCACCAAAATCTCCTTCGACTGCTTACAATATGCATCACACATTTTAAGGGGCTGTTGAAACAGAAAAACAAAGGAAGCCCTTGAAACAGAAGCAGATCTTCCTAGCTTTGCCCCTTTCTTTATGAGTGTGCCGCCCGCCCGCCCGCCTGACTTTAAAGCACTGTCACATTGTTTCCACATGCTGGGGCCCTTGAAACTTGTGCTAAAACATTGCAAAATAAAACTGCATAAACATCACATTTCAAAACAGGAGCTAGTGATGGTAGGTCAGTCATATGGACCAGAATAATCATTAATTAAACCATAACCTACAAATGTCCCTGACCTGAGACATTTTCTTATTTGAAGAACAGACATTGAACACGTGGCCATGGGCGTATTTCAAAAAGAATATCAGTGTAATTCACTCTGAGAAACCAGTAAAAATGCCTGCCTTTTTTGCCACTTTCAGAGCACATAAAACAGTTTCACGGGCACAAAACACTGCAAAAGCTTAAAGAATAATTCTTTCATTTTCCCAACATTAACATTTAATTGTACAGGCATTATGAGCTATACAACAGAAGTGTGTAATGCTGGAGATTTCTTCCAGAAGAGCTTGCAGCTCCCTTTCCTTGGACCACATGGAGATAATGCTCAATACCAAATGTACTACAAACTGGATTCACAACATCACAGTTACTTACCTTATAAAAGCTGAATTTATTCCTCTGGTTAGAAGTCACAAACGGTAGAAGCAAAACTCCCTTCATTTGTTCTTCCAGCGAGCCAAATCTAGCCTCCCATTAACCCAGTCCATTGCAGATAATTTCACAGGGCACACTCTCCCCTGCTTCCCCCAGTTCCCAGCCCAGCGAGGATAATCACATTCCGGCAGGGAGTGAACAGATGGTGGATTCCATGGTAACCAGCCCTCCTAAGGCGATTGGTAGAAGTGTGTGAGTACTGCTTATTGGGTAACAATCGCTGTCTTTGTGCTCCATCTAGCCTTGCAAATCCTAAAGGAAGGAACATATAGCCCCACTCACATGTGCAGGGCTTGCCTAGCAGGTGTTTGGCTTTTTAAACAAGGCAATGCAGGCCAATTAAAAGCTTTCCAGTGAATTTATTATTGGTGCTACAAAATCCTAGCATTTCAGAGAGCATCCACTGTTCCTTCAAGGAGAAAGGTCACAAGAAGCTTAACTTGACAAACAGAAAACAAAACTTGAAAGTTAACTTGAAAATTTATGGTAAAGCATTCTAAAAATCTAAGATACATCAGCAAGTTATTTTCTGATTTGCAATCCACAGCAGAAGTAAAGCAGGTTTTGTATTTAGAAAGATTTTTCAAACAAAAATAATTTTCAAATTTGCAAAATTACAGTATCTTAGTTTGAAAATAAAAGTTTTCAAAAGCAATTGTTTTATAAATCATGTAATAATTATTTTTAAATACTTGCAGTATAAATTCATTTTACTGTGTTGATAGGGAGCAAGATACTCAATTTTAAATTTTCATTAGAGCCTGACCCAATAATAGGATTGGACTCTCTTGATTATGCACTTTTTTTTTTTAAAGATTTATTTTTTAATAATTTTTTTTCTTGCCCTGGCTGGTTTGGCTCAGCGGTTAAAGCGACGGCCTACGGTCCAGAGAGACCCGGGTTCGGTTCCTGTAAGGGCACGTACCTCAGTTGCAGTTTGTCCCCGGCCCTGGTTGGTCACACGGGTGGCAGCTACTCAATGTGTCCCTTTCATGTCACTGTTTCTCTCTCTCTCTCTCTCTTCCTCTCTCTCCCTCCCACTCTATCTGAACAAAAAATAGAAAATGTCCTCGGGGGGGGGGATAAAAATATAATAATCATAATTGTTTTTCTTTATTAATTTTTAGAGAGAGGAAGGGAGAGGGAGAAAGAGATAGGAACATCGATGAGAGAGAACATCGATTGGCCGCCTCCTGCATGTCTCCCACTGAGGACTGGGCCCACAACCTGGGCATGTGCCTTGACTGGGAATCAAACTGGTGACCCCTTGGTGCATGGGCTGATGCACAAACACTGAGCTACACCGGCCGGGCTTGGTTATGTATTCTTTACTGGGTTTAATTTTTCCTGTGTCCATGAGAGTTAAATGCTGATTCAGCAGAGGAGCTTTTTCCCCCAACCGTAATGATCAAGCCATCAGAGTTAAGTCCTTGGAAGAGCAAATAGACAACACCAAAACCAACCATTAGAGGTACTACACAAATCTAAAACAGATAAGCTCTAGGCACTCACAAAAATCCATCCAAAATTAATTTTTAAAAGGGCAAGGAAAGGAATAATTAGGACAAGCCTGAAGCAAAAACAAAACAAAAATGTAAGCTGTGATTAGACTTTTAGGTATTAATTGCCTCCTTATTTTGCAGTTACCCCTCATTTTAAATTTAGGATTTCTTTTCTCAGCATGTACAGAAATGAGACTCAAATATTGACAGGAAATAGACAAAATTATTATTAGAGGTGATATAGGTCTATTCCTAGATTTTAAAAAATCAAAGAAATCGAGTAGGATATTATTTATAGTACCAGAAGTTTAGTAAGTAGTCAAATACATCAACATACAGTAATTCATTTACAAGAGCAAAATTTATCAAAATACCAAAAAAAAAAAGCGGGGGGGGGGGGGGGCTTACTAACAATGCCAACAAAAAGTATACAACAGGCCTGGTTGGTTTGGCTCAGCGGTAAGAGTGTCACCCACAGACCAAAGAGTCCCAGGTTTGATTCCGACCAAAGGCATGTACCTTGGTTGTGATTTGTTCCTGGCTCCAGTTGGGGTTGTGCGGGTGGCAACCAATCGATGTGTCTTTCTCACATCGATGTTTCTCTCTCTCTCTCTCTCTCTCTCTCTCTCTCTCTCTCTCTTCCTTCTTCTTTCCCTCTAGATCTATCTGAAGATTAATGTAAAAATATCCTCTGGTGAGGACCAAAAAAAAAGGATACAGCAGTAGGCAATAATATTATCAACAAATGTGGGAGAAAAAGAATGAACATTTATTGGGAGAAATGAAGTAAAAACTAAACGGAGAGACATAATGTGATACTGGATACAAAGATCCATTTAATTTTTTTTTTTGTTGTTAATCCTTATCTGAGGATATTTTTCCATTGATTTTTTAGATAGAGTGGTAGGAAGGGAGGTAGAGAGAGAGAAACATCTATGTAAAAGAGACACATCAATTGGTTGCCTCCCGCACAGCCCCAACTGGGGCCGGGGATCAGACCTGCAACCCAGGTAACATGCCCTTGACAGGGAATCGAACCCACAAACCTTTGGTCCGAGGGCCAACACTCTAACCCAGTGGTTCTCAACCTTCCTAATGCCGCAACCCTTTAATACAGTTCCTCATGTTGTGGTGACCCCTCAACCATAATATTATTTTCGTTGCTACTTCATAACTGTAATTTTGCTACTGTTATGTCTTAGATGACCCCTGTGAAAGGGTTGTTCGACCCCCAAAGGGGTCGCGACCCACAGGTTGAGAACCACTGCTCTAACCACTGAACAAAACCAGCCAGGGCACAAAGATCCATTTTATGTTTTTTGTTGTTGTTGTTGTTGTTGTTTTAATGTTTTATTTATTTATTTATTTATTTATTTATTTATTTATTTATTATGAATTTTTTTTATTTATTTATTTTTTTGTTATAGATATTTTACCTTTTTACCCCATTGGCACCCCCACCCCACCCCCCCTCCACCCTTTCCCCGGCTTAGTTGTCCATGTCCATTGGTCATCCATACATGCATATAAGTTCTGTGGTTTATCTCTTCCCACCCCCCCACCCCCCATCCCCTCTTCTGAGGGATGTCAGTCTGTGCCCTACTTCCATGTGTCTGGGTCTACTGTATTCCTCAGACTGTTATGTTCATTATATTCCGTATATAAGTGAGATCATGTGGTATTTGTCTTTTTCTGCTTGGCTTCTTTCACTTAGGATAATACTTTCCAGGTCCCTCCATGTTGTCTCAAAGGATAAGAGATCTTTCTTTCTTACCGCTGCATAGTACTCCATTGTGTATATGTACCACTGCTTTTTTATCCATTCGTCTACTGGTGGACACTTGGGCTGTTTCCAGATCTTAGCTATTGTAAATAGTGCTGCTATGAACATGGGGGTACATATATTCTTCCTGATTGGTGTTTCAGGCTTCTTAGGGTATACTCCCAGCAGTGGGATCACTGGGTCAAATGGAAGTTCAATTTTTAATTTTTTGAGGTAACACCATATTGTTTTCCATAGCGGCTGCACCAGTCTGCATTACCACCAGCAGTGTATTAGAGTCCCCTTTTCTCCACACCCTCGCCAACACTTGTTGTTTGATGATTTGTTGATGGCGGCCATTCTGACAGGTGTGAGGTGATACCTCATTGTTGTTTTAATTTGCATCTCTCTGATGATTAGTGATGTTGAGCATTTCTTCATATGTCTCTTGGCCATTTGTATGTCCTGTTTGGAGAGGTGTCTATTCAGCTCCTCTGCCCATTTTTAATTGGGTTCTTTGTCTTCCTTTTGTGGAGTTGTATGAGCACTCTATATATATTGGAAATTAACCCCTTACCTGATACATCATTGGCAATGATGTTCTCCCATACAGTGGGTTGCCTTTCCATTTTGATGATTGTTTCTTTTGCTGTGCAGAAGCTTTTTAGTTTGATGTAGTCCCATGTGTTCATTTTCTCCTGTATTTCTGTTGCCTTAGGTGATGTATCAGTGAAAATTCTGCTCCGTATGATGTCCGAAATTTTGTTGCCTACATTTTCTTCTAGAATTTTTATGGATTCACGGGTCACATTTAAGTCTTTTATGCATTTTGAGTTTATTTTGGTGTATGGTGTAAGTTGATGGTCTAGTTTCATTTTTTTGCATGTAGCTGTCCAATTTTCCCAACACCATTTATTAAAGAGGCTGTCTTTACTCCACTGTATGCTCTTGCCACCTTTGTCAAATATTAATTGAGCGTATTGCCTTGGGTCCATTTCTGGGTTTTCAGTTCTGTTCCACTGGTCTATATGCCTGTTCTTGTGCCAGTACCAGGCTGTTTTGGTTACAGTCGCTTTGTAGTATAACCTCATATCTGGTATTGTGATCCCACCTACTTTGTTCTTCTTTTTCAAGATTGCTGTGGCTATTCGGGGTCTTTTTTGGTTCCATATGAACTTTTGAAGTATTTGTTCTAGTTCTATGAAATATGTCATTGGTATTTTGATGGGGATTGCATTGAATCTATAGATTGCTTTGGGTAGTATGGACATTTTAATGATGTTAATTCTTCCAATCCATGAACAGGGTATGTGCTTCCACTTTTTTATATCTTCCTCTATTTCTTTTTTCAATGACAAAGATCCATTTTAAAGATGTTAAGTCTTCCCCAAAAACTTCCAGGTTTTTAGTATATAAATTTTATATATATACATACACATATATGGAGGGGCAAAAGTAGGTTTACATTTGTGAGTATGCATAAAACATAGTTTATTCTTATATTATTATTTAGTAATTATTATATTATTTTCCATACAAACAACCATAAACCTACTTTTACCCTACCCTGTGTGTGTATAGTCTTCTAATAAAATCTCCATCATACTTTTAAAATTTTTACAAAGTGACTAAATT